GTGCGTGTGTTATTACTAGACGTATGTTGCTTTTCCTAGCAACCTTCAGACATGTTTCGTGAAATTTTTGAGAAATGTTCAGTGTTTATTTTGGTAGGTAGAAAGGCAGCAAGAATTTTAGAATGTTTATATATATAGAATAATTTGTATCTGCGATCATGTACGTGTAAGAAAATTCATTTAGGACATGAATCGTTAAAAAGATGCACATTTTACCCTCTTCCAAGTCATTACAACAGAAAAAGGAACAATATGTAATATAATCGTACACCAGTTTTTCTATCCTTACGCTGCACATTCCTCTTTCGAAGTAACATGTAACATGACATATAAATAACTCGTTTTACATAATATTAATTCGAACCTCTACTCCGTCATGAATAACACCTAGCATACGACACACGCAAAAAACATCTTTGAATCACTCGAGGCACGAACAAGGCCATTTTACTCATTACCAATTACAAAACCAATCACCGTTCTCAGAAACGCGATTCACTCCGCGCTACAACTGAACATTTAATAAAGATCTTCCCTCGCCGGTTTCCAATTCGCGTGTAAGTACTTCGGATCGCATGTGTAACATACACGTTTCAGAGAGCAAGAGAAAGAAAAAAAAACGCGAAACTATCGTACAGATTACAGGAACATTATAGTATTAAATAATTAAGCCGCATAGATAGGCGCGCGATCCGAGGTACGAACCGAACGTAGCCGCATTAGGTGCACGAACAACATTCACATGCGAGTGTCCGCGAGAGGTGATCCGATCTGTCGCCCTGGGCGAAGAGAAACCTGCTTCGTGGCTGTGTTATTAATCGGAAATTGTTTATCCCGTCGGACGTCGGACGTTTATTGGCCCGTAAGTATACAGCGTCTAACGGCCGTCCGTCGTCGTTATCAATCGCGACGCGCATGACTCGATACCTAAAACGTGATGCAAACGTCCTCTTTCAGCACGCCGGATCATTCAGAACGGCTGTGTTAAAACGACATTATCGGATCGGTGACTCCGTGGGCTCTTTCATTTGCGAAAATTACGTCCACCGAGTTTTATCTACCATTACGCGTGTCGTTTATCGACGCGTGACGCGTGTGAAATCAAACCGTGTTTCCAACGAATCATTCGCACGACGACCTGCGAATGCAGACGCTGAATATTGCAGGTGGTGGGGTGAAATGTTTGACACATGATTACTCGCAGGGTGGAGTTGGCGAGTGGTTGTATGGAGAACAGAGTGAAATGCAATAGGGTTGGGTTTCTTTTTCAGCAGTTGCTCAAGTTTGTGATGCTGGTGAAACTTACAGTGCAACGAATAACGAAATTCGTATGGTCTACACTTTTACTGCACGACTGTCGGCAAAAATTAGTACTGCGTAAGGATAGGTCGGAATTTTGCAAAATGGCGGGAAGGAAACGATCGTATTTCCAGGTCGACCTCTCTTGCTTTTTTGTAAAAGGAAAACGTGACACTTCGTGGTGTACCGGTCGAGACAATGTTATCGCTGCCACTTTTGCGTAAAAGGAAATCGAAATCGAGCTCTCTAATCAAGCATACGAGAAAAGAAGAAAAAATTGAAGGAAAAGCAGAGCAACGGAGGATGAGCCATTTGAAAAGGCTTGTCGTCGCTTTCGAAAATTTCTCCCTTTTTCCTCGAGGCGGACCACGGACTTACCTTTACAGCTACCCGTGTCGCAGGGAAGTCGCAAGAGACGGCCCTGGATGGCCTGTAAACACACAAGTGAAACAGAACTTTCACGGCCACGGGCTCGACCTGGTCACTTCGTTTCAGGTGTACACACACAAGCACATATAGTACGCACGAGGTCGGGCAAAAAACGAAGCAGCAACGGTTGTGCCTCGGCCTGGTCGCCGTGAGAGCGGAATCGACGCATAAAAAGGAAACAGGTTATCGAATTAAAGCGATACTACCACTGGCTTCGATACTGGTCCCAAGATGTGTAATTTCTATCCCCAGGCCATTCCAGGATGATATTCGGAGGCAACGGTACACGCCTCGAGCGGAGACTCGTCTCTGGATACCTTCCATTTTCGATACACAACTTCGAATGGAAACTACGCTCTGAACGTAGCTGCGCATCTATTCGCGGGAGAAAAGATGGCGGATCCCACTTGTTTACCGAAACGTGTTTCTCAACCGTCGTATCCGTACCTTCGACACTCTGGCAAAAAATTTCTCCACTACACGGTAAGATTGTTTTCCTTTACTCGCAAACTGGGATGGATCGTGTTACACTCTTCGTTTCACCGACGTTCGACCGTTGGAACATGTGTGTACGTGGTAGTGCCTCGGGGGCTCGCTTTTCTAGCGTGCTCGAATGTTTTTGTTTAGATAATAAAAAGAGACGCGTTTATCGACTGCAAACGTGCGTATTTGTAGAAATATGTAAGTGGTTCCGGTGAACAAGGTGTTACCCGTTCGAACAGCGAACAATGTATATCGTTATCGTTCGCTAAATTACACGTTACCAAGGAAACGACTTCGAAAAATATAACAATAAAACGCGTAAATTGATTTCACGTTGTTACCTCTCTCTCTCTCTCGTTCTGTTTCTTTTCAGGTCAGACTGTCTGTGCGTCGTTTTCCGTAAGGATCTTATCGCGCGTCTCACAGCGTGTGCAATTACGACACAATGACCACGTTCTCTGCAATATCGACCAGTTATCGTACTTTCCGTCGCGGAACAATTTATTTATCTGCCGAGCAGGAATAGCGGCGTCAAAGACTCTCGAGCGAGAGAGCAGACGAAAGAAATCGCCCAAAGGCACATGTGAATACTGTGCACGTGCACGCGGCCGTTGAATTTTTCGTCACTTTCCAGCGGTTCTATTTCCCACCCGCCGGGCCGCCTCTTCCCTCCTGGAGCAGTGACAGTGAATTAAAAGCGACTCTCCTCTCGCGCCTGCTGGTGTCCGTTTATATTTAGAGTGTGGATGCACGAGAAAACGCGAGGCTTACTTCGTAGCTAGGGGTCACGTTGCTTACAACGTTACACGATATCGATTGTCCGACTGTTATCCGATAATGAAAGTTATTATTGTCGTATCGATAAAGATGACTAACTTACTCCTGTGTTTTATACCGAACACGTCGGTAGTGCGAGTAATTAATATGTAAATCGAACGGCCGCTTTCTACGCAGAAATATTTTTTTTCGGTGGGTATTGAACGGATATTTTTACGAATACGAAACTAAGACAATCGGCTTTGTCTGAGATAGAAAGATACCGAACAGAATCTCAACTGTAGATATGACACGATAATGCGTCTTGCATGTTTGTAAATAAACCAATCACATAAAAATATTATGAAATTTACTTTAATTATCACCGTTGAAAATTGTGGATTTATTAGATTTCCGAGAATACGATAATACATAGTATACAAGACTCTGAAGTTGAAGTTCACAGTAACTGAAGCAAATTGCGATAACGATTTTAATTATCTTTATAACGTAAAATTCCCTTCGCTTCTCTGATTCGACTCCCTTACATTGGATCTGTCAAGGTGTACTTTATCGAAGCAACGGCGAACAACATGGTTGACACTTTTCTCGGTACAGGAACGCGTTTTGCGACGCAAACACGAGTCCATTGTCCGTTTGTCAATACAAGGTACCGTATGCGCGCCAGTGCGATCAGCCTGCGCTTTCGTTGTACAAACGCGCGCACTCGCCAAGCGTATATGGTCCCTTTTCTCGTGACTCGCATACGGCACAAGCATACAACAATGCCATAATACCAGTGAAAACATCATTTTTCTTCTAACGAGAAAAGAAATGCGAACACGCACATATGTTTCAACGATTCCATCCTTTTATAATTTCATTCCGGGAATATGCGTTTAAAACCTTTTACTGACAACCGAAAATAATCCCTATCTTCACGTCTCGTAAAAAAAATGACAATAATGCACTGTGTGTGCATCAGCAGGGCTCTGCGTGTTGCAACACGCCTAGCTTGTACCGTTTACACACACACGTAGCACGGTTACACGTGCGCGCGCATGTATTACGAGTAGACGAGCGTGAGACTCCTGGACAGACGCCTCCCGGCTCATGTATGCATCTGCATTCGTGTCGAATGAGGTTAACGTTAATGAGGCACAAACATCTCCAGACACCGTAGTCAGACCTTCCCTTTTATTCACCCTGTCATGAGCCCCCGTGGCTATACTGCGCGTGCACACAGTTAGGGATGCGATTTTTTCCAACCGGTCATTCGTTTCTTCGTTCCTTCGTCCGTTCGTTCGTTCCACTCGACTAACCAACTACATACACACTGCGATGGTCACGTACGTGGCTTTGCAAGAAAACAACCGGTCCCAACACACAAAGGGTTTTCGATGGATTTCAGGAAATGCGTTAACGATTTCACACGTGTGTCGCAAAGATTTCTATCGCTTTGATTAAGAATGCTATTGGAATTGCAAATGGAGGAAGTGTGTTTACATTCTTGATAGGATCCCGAGCTCTAACCTATAAATATCTTCCCGCGTAAAGAGACGTTTCCAGGTGATTGTAAGGTGTCAGATCGGGTGTAAAGTGTAATAAATCAACGCGGAAGTAATTAATATTCCGACAAAAGACTTACTATATTGTACGGAGGAATCGAGAGGGAAGATTCACCGGCAGATTCGAAAGGGTCCATTAAACTTTCTCACAGGGGACAAAAGCGCCCCCCACTCTACCGCCAAAACAAAAGACGGTAAAAAAAAACTTTCGATGTATATACATACATATATACACACGCACTCGATACACACACAAAAACAGAGGTAGAAATCTTTTGAATCGCGTCTCCCTTCCGAAGGCCATATATCACCGATCTCAGGTCACCCAGCAAACACACGATACACGGCATGTCCGCGTACCGTTATGTTCGTTCTGGAGGCCTGGTCCTTATCAAACGCACGCTACTCCACCACACAACACGTACTTTAAGATACAAGGCAGATGGCAATCGAAGAGGTACTTACTCCGTACAGGGATTTCAACTTTACGTGATTAAGGGCGGGCACATCCACCATGGAGCACTTAAGCAGGATGGTGGTAGTTTGACTGGGCATCTTCACGTAAGCGTCTGTTCACTTGTCACGTGTAACGAAACTGGCGGCACGTCACTACCGTGGGAAACGTTCATTGGTGTGTCCCGCGCCTATGATCTATCGGTATCGTCTTACACGAGCTTAAAATTGCGGACCGGTAAGCACGAATAACAAAGAAAGAAAAAACAAACAAAGAGAAACAGAACTCCTTGCTACCGATCGGTGTCACGACACAAGATCGTTCCAATGAAATATACCCAAAACTAAATGCCGTAAGGAACACAAAAACATTCGACGGAAGTATATATATATTATATATATATACAGTATCGTGTGGCAGTGAAGGAATGGCAGTGCACCGTTACTGGTTCCGATCGAATCGTACGTACGCGCGGCGACGTTCTACGTTTTTCTCAACGGACTAACGACGTGCTCGATCGTCTCGATCCATAATCACGCATCGATCGCACAAGTATCGTTCAAGGGTGCTCGCAACGCAGAGCTCCCGTACCGTGCATGCTCTCGCCTGCTTGCCCGACTGACTGACTGGTTTTCACTCACTCACTTAGAACGCGAGACCGAGTGGAATTGTAGCCACATCTCTCCCCACTCTGCGCCTCTTCCTTATCCCCACCACCGCGCCGGTAGCCAATCGTCGGCGCACGGACGCACACGCGTGTGCGTATACACGTTTACACGCGACGAGATGCATGTCGGTGCCGAGTGGACAGTGATCCACGCATGCTGGATTTTCGTGTATATACTTACAGTATCAGTGCATACACGTTTACTTACATCGAATGCACGTATATAGGGTTACGGATGAAAATTGGGTAGGATTGATTACGTCGAGAAAACCCGGTTTAACGTGAAATAGATAAGGCGTGACGTGGTGAATCGCCCACGTTTTGTGAGAGATTTTTAAAGAAGGTAATAACGGATTTCTTGGGACGTCGTTGGATTTCGATACAAAAAGAATTAGTTTTACGGACCATTAAGATTCGACATTCAAATTCTTCGTTCAACCTACAATTCGTTTACTGCGTTTTAATTCATGAAACCGTTACTTCTCCGAATTATCGCAGTCGGTAATTGGAATTATAAATTTTAAACAAGTTACGATATTTCCGTGTTACGGAAAAATTTTCTGTTTGCGCAGATACTTTACCTTCGATTTTTTTTTCTTTTTGCTTCTCGAACAAATCTATCGTACAACAAATGAAAATAGATTAACAGAACTGAATCACGGCGGTTATGTGCGTGTACGCACACCGTTACGTAACATTCAGCATAAGTTAATATAACGGACTTTCACTGTCATCTACCGTTTCTGATTACATGACATGAAGGAAGTTCCGGATCTGATCAAGTCTATTTCCCTTCTCGGTGTCTACACCGAGAGAAACGTTTCATATAGGATATACGCTTTCAATAGGCACTGGAGATCCGAACGATGACGCGACATGTGACTTCTCACGTTGTCGCCGAGCCCACTTTTAATTCCCTCGAGAATCTACTACGAGAGCTGTTCGCGTATTTCGATTCGCGGAAACGCGTGATTCACACCTTCATTCATAAGAAATCATCGATAAACAACCTCTTCGGAAATTCAGGATGTTGTAAAATATGCAATCGTAAAAGGAATTTCGCTGAATTAACAAACATAAACCCATTTAATACACACATCAGGATATTTTCCCGGGCTCATAAATATTCATACTTAAAATCTCTTTCGTTCGTTCTCGCAAAAGTACCCACAACTTTTTCCATCGTTGTTCCCCATTTACACAGATCCGACACTCTGCTAGAACTTTACAAAGATACCCGCTATTTCCCGCAAAATTACAATACCCAAGAGACAGTCTAAGACAAGATTCCCAAGTGACTCGTCGCAATACCCCGTAACGGGAAGGAAGATGAAAAATCGGAGTCACGAAATTCTCGATTTTCCCGTATCGATCGAGATAAAAACACCAGCTACCGCGGGAAACTAGTTTCGTCGAATGCTGCAAAAACCGTGTCGATTGCATCAACGTTTCTCGCAATCGGCGAACGATAAAGCAGTGAGATGCAATACGCAGCTTTGACACTTCGACTGACGGTGAACCTCGAACAGTTGCACCGTGATAAAACCGTCGGGGAGGAAGTGACGCATCAAAGGACACCCGTTCGTTTTTTTTTTTTCTGCCTTCTAACGAGTAACGGAAGAGTCCAAAGTCACGATCAATTGCGTCTTCGTGTATCGTTATACCCGCGCGACAAACGATAATAACGCTGGTACTGCGTGTCCGTGTGTGTTTTTCGTAAGAACGACGCACGCACGCGCGCCTCTCTTGCCACGCATGAAACAGGAAGAACAGAGCCAGCGGTGACGAATTTTTTCTCTCGAATCGATAGTGACCGCATGTTACGCTGCTCCGCCGCGATTTATCGGCTTAAGATCAATGTGTCAAAGTTATGCCGCACATTCGTATCGAAGGTGATACGAGCTGGACGTTATCCAACGACCGCAGATAGATAGATAGAGAGAGAGAGAGAGAGAGAGAAAACCGCAGACAACTCGATCGCTCGGCAGATTCTAGTTACGCGACAGGTGACAAAGTTTTCTCTCTCCTCTACACCCCCGTTTCCCTCCGGAAACCAACTGATGCGAGGTTTTCGCGGGGAATACGCGTTCCGCTCGTGCCAATCCGCGGGAATCGTCGTCGTTTTTCAACGGTTGACAACTCGCGAGCTGAATACGCGGCATTCGAACGTCACCGAAAGTGATTGATTTACGAAAATTAGGTTTGGATATTTATGAGATTCTGAGGCTGTTTGTGATCTGAATGAGCGAATTTCTTGCTCGGAGCATATCTCTGAACAGAGGCGATGCTGTTTGAATTTATCGGGGAATTGCGGTGTAGCTTGTTCATTTCTATGTTTATTTTATAGTTGTTTAAGTGGGTAATTTCACGTGCTTGGATGTCGCTGAAAGCGATCGATTTAGGAAAATTACGATTGCACATTTATGCGATTCTAACGCAGTTTGTGATTTGAACGAGTGAATTTCTTATTCCGAGTTTCTCTAAACGGAGAAACTGTTATTTGAACGTTGCGCGTAATTCTGCTGTAGTTTATCTATTCTTAATTTTTATTTCATATTCACGCTTATTTCATTGGTATAAAGTTTAACTTAGAGATACTTTACCAGCAGGATATTTGAATATCCTTAAATTAGAGCAATAAAAGAGTAGCACATTTGAACACGAAGAATCTGAAACGGCTGCGTAGCTAGAAGGAATTCGAAGGCAATTCCGTGCTTTCGACACAGCGTGTCATTAAAAAACCCAAACTCTAATCGCGACAATTTAATATCAACAATTAATAACACGCAATCAGATTATTAATGAGAGTGTCGTAAATGTTTACAAGCGGGCACTTCTAATTACAGAGCGTCCGGAATAATTAATCAAGAAACTGGAAGCTCACCACTGCAATTATTAATCAGCGCGGACAGATAACGACACATGTATACACATATACATCGTTTATCGTGCGAAGCCTTTTCTTTTACAATCGCCTCTAATCGACGCACCGAAGATAGCACGGTTCATTGCGTAATTATCATTCTATTCGACGGTTAAGCATATACATACATATTTTCTCGCGCGCGATCACAGGTCGGACGTTGGAAAAAATTCGGCAGAAAAAATGTCATAGAAATCTCAATTTCCAAACTTTCTATCTTTCGATCCGGTTCGAGAAGACCAGATACACACCTTTCAATCTCGCCAATCTCGTCGTAAGTACCTACATACCCGGACGTTACAAGCGGAGGTTCGCGTCGAAACGCGCAATAAAAAAGAGGAGATTGTCGAATTTTACTATGCTGTCTCGGTGTTCGTTTCGCGAGAGAACGCGAAAAATTGGGACTGCCACGGTCCGTTTACTTTCCTGTCATCCAAATATTTATCAACGTTTCTATCTACTTTACGCGAGTGCAGTTTCACGCTGTCCAATCTGACACGAATTTCGCCGTTTCCACAGCGGTGGGGGCGAACTTTGCGTCAGTCGGTTCAGCTTCGACGAAAATCTCACGTTGTACGCTGTGTGACTTACGGCGACAACGTTAGTCACGAGGATCGACTTTAGACATATGGTCCAAGTCGAGAAACGTCTCTCTGGTCACGTAATGGAAGCGGTTCGTAACGGAAACGAATCGAGACACTTGGACCCGAGGAAACTGGGCTCGACACATGTGTTGAGATGATTCGTGACGAGGAGAAAAGTGAACGTTTCGTAGGAACTTCGAATTGGAATGGAAAAGTTGGATTGGAATATTGGAGCTGGGAAAAGGAGGTTTTTATGGGAATATAAAAATTTAAGAAGCTAAATTTAAACATTTTATGGGAATTTAAAAGGTAGAACGAAAGTTTTGTTTTCACTCTCGAGTTTCCGTGGGTTATTTTGACAATTCACGCGATTGGAAACTGTGTAGATTGATCTTTTTTTCTTCTAAACATTCATTCGTTGAATATTTACATTTTTTCTACGTTACAAATTTATGTTTTCATATTTTTCAATTTTTATCGATATTTGTAAAATATTCAGGAAATATCAATATCCGTAGCTTACTCGATTTTCATGATTCGAAACCAACAGATATTCGTATTTTATTTTACCGAGCCAAATCAAAGCAATGTTTACCTTTCTGTTGAAATACTGAATATTCGTGTAGGTGTACAAATATCGTAACCGCATTTGTGCATTTCGACTTGTAAACTGGCTTTGTTTCGCAGTCGGAAATGTAAATTTATTTTTTTTAAAAAATAGCGCAAATATTGACCGATTCAATTCTTATGCTCTTTATGTTTCATACAAATATAACCGTATATAAGATATCTGCAGAAAATAATAATAATTAACACAGTTAACTAATTGGAGAGATCTACTTTATTAACCATTTTCTATCGTATCATTCACAGTAAATAATATTCCACCCTCATATGCAATTCCACGAAACTTTGTCCAACAATACTGTTAGATATAATGCACCATCGTTCAATTTCGCATTACTAATTTTCTTAACGCGAAGTTCCTTATCAATTTTCTTAGAAATCTGTTTAAAAAACAGATATCTACTCAACTGGAATTCGTTCAATTGACAATGAGTTACTCGAGTTAATAGAATGTTTAGACACTAACCTTTTGTCAACGAAAAATCTAAAAAGATGGACTTTATCAATTTTCACAGAAAAGATTTCCA